TCTAGGTGTTTCTTGGTGAATGCCTTGTTGTTTTTTAGGCATCACTTATCAACAAGTGATTAACATAAAATGCGAGGGATAGTCCACAAGATTAGCCAATCACAGACCACTTTTGAGTTTTTTAAAGAGCTTGTGCGAAATACACAAAAATGTTCAGAGGGCACAGCCAAGATGACAGAGGAGGAAGATCCTGAGTCATCTCTTCATGTGAGCACACCAAAGTAACAACTGCTTATGAGAAAGACCAAAATCTAGCAGAGAAGATCTTCTACAACTAAAGGTATAAAGAAAGAACCACAAGACAAGCAGGAGGGGCAGGGCACAGTATAGTCAAGACCCATAGACCCAGGTACATGACCACCAAATAAGAAGATAATTGCAGTTGCATAGGTTCTCCCCAAGGATCAAGGAATTCCCCAACCAGTGGTCCTGCACCAGGAAGATAAGCTCCCAGGGCATTTGACTTTGAAAGCCAGCAGGGCTTACTTTTGAGAGAGCCAGAGGGCTGTGGGAAATAGAGACTCCACTCTTAAAAGACACACACAAAATCCCACCCACTCTGGGACCCAGGGCATAAGCAGTCAGTTTGAAAGAAGCCTGGGCCAGACCCACCTGCTTGGAAAGCCTTCTGGAGAGGTGGGATGTGATGGAACTCACCCTGGGGACCCAGATACTGGCAGCAGCCATTTTGGGGAGCTTCTTCTACCATGAGGACACCAGTGTTAGAAAAAGTCATTTTGGAATCCTCCCTTTAGCTTATTAGCACCAAGACCCAGACCCAGTCACCAGCCTGTCAGTACCAGAAGTGGGACACCTGAGGCCAAGAAACTAAACAGGCAGGTATGCACACCCCTACTGCTGTCCCCTATCAGCTGCCTTGAGACTCCCTGAGCCCACAGACACCCTGGGACATGGGCCTGCCCACTAGAGGGCCAGGACTCAGCCCCACATACCAGGAAACTGGCACTAGCACAGGGGCCCCCCGGGACCTACCTGCAGCCAGAGCCCCAGCTTCACCCCTCCCCATACCCCAGTGAGCTGACACGAGCCTAGGGACACCCTGGGCATTGACCCTGCCCACCAGCTGACCAATTTAAGCTCTAGGACCCTGGGCTCTGCAGCCAGAGATCCCAGGACCCAGCTCTACCCAGCACAGGGCTAGTGCTAGCCCTGGGACAAGTCTTATCCCCCAGAGATCCCAGCCCCAGGACCAATGCAACCCTACAACCAGCATTCCCTGGGCCCTGGCCCTGTCCATCAGCAGGCCAACGCCAGCTCTGGGATTCCTGGGCCCTGCAGCAGGGGACCCCAGGAGCTGACTCTGTCTGCCACTGGACTGGCACTAGCCCCAGGACATGGCTTCACTCACCAGTAGGTGAACACCAACCCTAAGATCCCTTGGGCATTGGCCCTACCAACAAGCAGATGGACACCAACTCGGAGACATGTTGGACCTCTCTGCCAGCTGCCCCAGGAACCAGCTCTGCTCACCAGCAGGCTTTCACTAGATCTGGGAAAACTGGCTCCCCCACACTCACTGTAGAACCTGGTTCAAACCACAAGTAGAACAGCACTAACTCTGAGACACCTCTGGTCTCTGCAACCAGCTACCCCATGACCCAGTCCCACAAAGCAGTGACTGGCAGCTTTTGCACAAGGCAGGGTCTAGCAACAACCAGACTAGGGGCCAGTCATGCCTACCAGACCACTGACCATAGTCAGCCAACCACAATAGAAGAACTTGTGCTGTCAACGTATGGGGCAAACTAGAGCATATAGCTATGGTAACCAGAGGGGAGTATGCTGCTGGGAGCATAGAACATTTCCCATAGAAGGCAATTTCTCCAAAGTTGGGAAATTTCACCAACCTACCAGCTACATAGAACTGAAAACAGCAAATCAGGCAAAATGAGGCAACAGAGGAACATGTTCCAAACAAGGAACAAGACAAAACCCCAGAATAAGAACTAGTGAAGTGCAGATAGGCAATCTCAGTTCAGTTCACTTTAGCCTCTCAGGCATGCCTGACTCTGCAAGCCCATAGAATGCAGCACATCAAGCTTCCCTGTCCATCACCAACTCCTGGAGCTTGCTCAAACTCATGTCCATTCAGTTGGTAATGCCATCCAACCAGCTCATCCTCTTCTCCTCCTGCCTTCAATCTTTCCCATCATCAGGGTCTTTTCCAATGAGTCAGTTCTTTGCATCAGGTGGCCAAAATATTGGAGTTTCAGCTTCAGCTTCAGTCCTTCCAATGAATATTCAGGACTGATTTGCTTTAGGAAGAACTGGTCGGATCTCCTTGCAGTCCAAGGGACTCTCAAGAGTCTTCTCCCAACACCACAGTTGAAAAGTATCAATTCTTCAGTGCTCAGCTTTCTTTATAGTCCAACTCTCACATCCATACATGACTGCTGGAAAAATCATAGCCTTGACTAGACGGTCCTTTGTTGGCAAAGTAATGTCTCTGCTTTTTAATATGCTGTCTAGGTTGGTCATAACTTCTCTTCCAAGGAGCAAGTGTCTTTTAATTTAGTGGCTGCAGTCACCATCTGCATTGATTTTGGAGTCCAAGAAATGAAAGTCTCTCACTGTTTCCACTGTTTCCCCATCTATTTGCCATGAAGTGATCGGACCAAAGGACATGATCTTAGTTTTTTGAATGTTGAATTTTAAGCCAGCCTTTTCACTCTCCTCTTTCATCAAAAGCCTCTTTAGTTCCTCTTCATTTTCTGCCATAAGGGTGGTGTCATCTGCGTATCTGAGGTTATTGATATTTCTCCCAGCAATCTTGATTCCAGCTTGTGCTTCATCCAGCCCAGCAATTTGCATGATGTACTCTGCATATAAGTTAAATAAGCAGGGTGACAATGTACAGCCTTGATGTACTCCTTTCCCTATTCGGAACCAATCTGTTGTTCCATGTCCAGCTCTAACTGTTGCTTCTTGACCTGCATACAGATTTCTCAGGAGGCAGGTAAGATGGCCTGGTAATCCCATCTCTTGAAGAATTTTCCACTGTTTGTTGTGATCCACACAGTCAAAGGCTTTGGCATAATCAATAAGGCAGAAGTAGATATTTTTCTGGAATTCTCTTGCTTTTTCTATGATTCAACAGATGTTGGCAATTTGATCTCTGGTTCCTCTACCTTTTTTAAATCCAGCTTGAACATCTGTAAGTTCACGGTTCATGTACTCTTAAAGTCTGGCTTGGAGAATTTTGAGCATTACTTTGCTAGTGTGTGAGATGAGTGCAATTGTGTGGTAGTTTGAACATTCTTTAGCATTGCCCTTCTTTGGAATTGAAATGAAAACTGAACTTTTTCCAGTCCTGTGGCCCCTGTTGAGTTTTCCAAATTTGCTAGAATATTGAGTGCACCACTTTCACAGCATCATCTTTTAGGATTTGAAAGAGCTCAACTGGAATTCCATCACCTCCACTAGCTTTGTTTGTAGCGATGCTTCCTAAGGCCCACTTGACTTCACTTTCCAGGATGTTTGGCTCTAGGTGACCGATCACACCATCAGGGTTAACTGGATCATGAAGATCTTTTTTGTATAGTTTTTCTGTGTATTCTTGCCACCTCTTTTTAATATCTTCTGCTTCTGTTAGGTCTATGCCATTTCTGTCTTTATTGTGCCCATCTTTGAAAGAAATATTCCATTTGTATCTCTAGTTTTCTTGAAGAGATCTCTAGTCTTTCCCATTCTATTGCTTATATAGATTTTATAATATCTTTATACATATATATATATGTAGATGTAGATTGTATATAGGCAATTTACCTGATATCATATGCAATGGTGAAAAAGCTGAATGAATTTTCTCTAAGATCAGGAACAAGGCAAGGATGACCACTCTTGCCATTTTTATTTGACATAATATCTAAAGTTCTGTCCACAGCAATTTAGACAAGGGAAAGAAATAGAAGGAATCCAAACTGGAAAGGAAGAAGTAATGCTGTCACTGTTTGCAGTCGAGATGACACTGTGCATAGAAACTCCTAAAGTCACTACCAAAAAATTACTAGAGTTCTTCAGTGAATTTGGTAAAGTTGCAGGATACAGAATGAATATACAGAAATCTGTTGTCTTTCTATACACTAACAATGAGTTATCAGAAAGAGAAGTTAAGGAAACAGTTCCATTTACCATCACATCAAAAGGGCTTCCCAGGTGGCACTAGTCAAAAAGAATCCACCTGCCAATGCAGGATACACAAGAGGCACAGTTTTGATCTTGGATCAGGAAGATCCCCTGGAGTAGAGAATGGCAACCCACTACAGTATTCTTGCCTGGAAAATTCCATGGACATAGGAGCCTGGCAGGCTACAGTCCATGGGGCCACAAAGAATCAGACATGACTGAATAACTGAGCATATACATACATACATACATACAAAAAGAATAACATACCTAGGAATAAACCTACCTAAGGAGGCAAGAGCCCTGTATTCTGAAAACTATGACACTGAAGAAAGAAATTGAAGATGACTCAAATAGATGGAAAGATATACTTTGCTCTTAGACTGGAAGAATCAATTCGGTTAAATATGGTTAAAATTACCATACTCCCAAGGCAATCTACAGATTCAATGCAATCCCTATCAAATTACTGATGGCATTTTTTACAGAATTAAGCAATAAATTTTAAATTTGTATGGAAGCACAACAGATCCCAAATTGCCAAAACAAGCTTGAGAAAGAAGAATAGAGCTGGAAGAATTGGGCTATCTAACTTCAGACTATACTACAAAGCTACAGTCATCAAAACAGCATGGTACTGAGACAAAAGCAGACACAGAGATTAATGGAAGAGGATACAAAGTCCAGAAATAAACCCACACATTTATGGCCAACTAATCTATCACAAAGGAGACAAGAATATACAATGAAGAAAAGATAGTCTCTTAGATAAGTAGTACTGGGAAACTGGACAGCTCTATGTAAAAGAATGAAATTGGAATGCAGCTTCTTTACAGGTTGATTGAAAGTCTTACCTGAGCAAGTAACTTTGGCTTCATCATAGTGTTCACAACTAAGCCCACCCCATTGCCAGTTCTTGCAGTCCCAGATAGAAGTTTCATTTCCATTGCAGTTGCTTAAAAACAGCCATGTGTTTGTTGCCTGAATTTTGGAATAAACTTGATAGGATGTTTTGAGTGCAGATCCACATCCCAGCTGCTTGCAAACCACATCAGCTTCTTTCAGTCCCCAGCCTCTGTCACACACTTTCCCTATCAGTTTCTGAATTTCCACCTCCACTGTCCCAGCACAGCGGCTACCTCCACCTTTGAGTCTCAGTTCGAGATCTGATCCATCTGCAAAAGAAACATACACTTAGACCATAGCTACATATGGAGGTTAGCTACCATAGGGTATTTTTTCAATCTTGTTCCTTCTCAGATACTGAGACACTATAAATTCTGGCTTACCTACTTCCTGGCTTTTAGAAGAGCAGCATAGACCATGAATTTGGTTAGAAATGGGGCTATAGTTTCAAAACTTGTAGATTTATAATTTGAAGTGTGGTTCCTAATAGCAGTTGAAACAATTTTTATAGAAAATAGAGACAGACAACCCTCCAAACTAGTCAAAAAAAGAATGTGTTAAAGATTCCTCATACCTGAAAGAATTCCTAACAAGGAAATCATTAGCTAGTTCTCTCTCACCTCTTACACCTATTCTTACTCCTAAAGAACACAGAGCCTTCCTTCTCTGTTTTTCTTGTTTTAACTTACCAGAACAGGTCACACCAGCATCTTCATTATGATTGCAGTAATGCTTTCCCCATTCGTGATGTCTGCACTGCCAGATAGCAGATTCATGTCCTTGGCAGGAAACACTGTCAAGCCAAATGTTTCCAGTTCCCTCACTGGCATTGACTCTACCGATGGCAGTGACGGCAGTCGGACATCCCAATTGCTGACACGCTACAGCAGCATCATCACTGTCCCAGCCATCATCACACACTGTCCCCCATTCTCCTTTGAATCTCACTTCTAATCTTCCTGAACACTTGGTGACTCCATCTACCAGTCTCAGGCTCAGGTCAGCTCCCTCTGTAAGAGGGAAACAAAACCAGTCAGTGATAAAGAAACAAGCATGAGGATGCTCCAAGCAGTTCTACCTGAGATGAGATAAAGAAAGGGTGGGGGGGGGGGGACATAAGCAGAGACAGAGAAAATAATGATATATTCCCACTGTAAATCATTAAAGATGGAAGTAGGAGAAGATCAGGCAAGAAGACAGTGTTAGTGGGAACCTTGGGTACAGCACAAGAGCTCAAATCAGTGCTCTGTGATGACCTGGAGGGCTGGGATGAAGATGAGGGTGGGAGGGAGGCTGTAGAGGGAGGGGGTATATATACACATACAGCTGATTCACTTTGTTGTGCAGCAGAAACTAGCACAAGATTGTAAAACACGTGTCTCTTTCAGATCTGGTTTCCTCATTGTGTATGCCCAGAAGTGGGATTGCTGGGTCATATGGCAGTTCTATTTCCAGCTTTTTAAGAAATCTCCACACTGTTTTCCATAGTGGCTGTACTAATTTGCATTCCCACCAACAGTGTAAGAGGGTTCCCTTTTCTCCACACCCTCTCCAGCATTTATTGCTTGTAGACTTTTGGATAGCAGCCATCCTGACTGGTGTGTAATGGTACCTCATTGTGGTTTTGATATACTCCAGTTTAAAAACAAGAAGATAGGATTTTTTATAAATTAGGAGTTTGGGATTAGCAGATGCAAACCATTTTATATCAAATGGATAAATAGCAAGGTCTTATTGTATAGCACAGAGAACTATATTCAGTATCCTATAATAGATCATAACAGAAAAAATCAATCAATCAATTAAGAAAAAAGAAGACAGGACTTTTCACTGTGGAGAGCATGCATTACAGGAAGAGTTTCTAACAGGAGGCCAAGGAACTGAAATTTATCTAGAGATCTGCTTGTTTAAACACCATAGATGTTTTTGTTGGATTGTTTCTTTCCCCCTGTTAAATATATACTTGGAGATGCCTAGGTGCTTATATATACATATATTTGCTGCAATACTTAACACTCACTTCTGGCTCTGACTGCATTACCTACCCAGACTATTTGGTTTGTATTACCATGCTTGACCCCTTTCTGATCATATCCATAGTTTAAAAGCAATACAAAAAAAAATAAAAAATAAAATAAAATAAAAACAACGCAAAGAGAGAAGGGACTTCATCATTACTCCTTTCACTTTCCCCCAATCAACACTCCTCAAAGACTAGCACTTGATTCTGAGTAATATCCTATAATAAATAAATTGGGTTTTTCCTCTGGCACTTTTAATTTTTTTTTTTGTCACAATGCTGTTTATTTTGATTCCTCAGCACATATCAAACACACTGAGAAGAAACATGCTGATTGGAGACCTGAGTAAAGGAAACCGGAAGGTACATACTGTATTTTCTCTACCCCAAATCGCTTTCACTTTCTTCAGCTAACAGAACTCATCTTTTCTGTAGGAATCCCATTCTTTGTGGTTCAGACTGTACATGATCACATTGTTCAACAAGAAAAAAGCCAACTTGGGAATTCCCTGGTCGTCCAGTGGTTAGGACTGTGAGCTTCCACTACACGGGGCCTAGGTTTTATCCTTGGTCAGAGAACTAAGATCCCCACAAGACACACAGCATGGTTTAAAAAAAAAAAGAAAAAGAAAGAAACTCAAGAAATAAAAGAAGAGCCAGAACCTTGATGATATTGTTTAAGTGCTGAATCTAGTCATGGATGGAGCCAACGGTACCTCCTGGATTTCCCAGTTTTCTGAGTCAGTATTCCCTTATTTTAAAGCTAGTTTGAACTGAATTTCCTTCATTTGAAAAAAAAAAAAACTGGTGAATACAAGAACATTTTTACCCTGGTTATAATTTCCTAAATATCCCCTGGGGTTCAAGACTTACTAGGTCTTCAAACGAGGCATTCAATTGAAGAAAGGAGAGTGACATTTTTGTACACACAAAACCATGTCCCAGACCTTAATCAAGGATGGAACATGAAAGTCCCTAGACACAATGCCTGCTTATGGTATAGTATTAGCGTAAATGAGGTTTTAATAGACAACCAGCTTTTTAAATCATTTGATTCTGTGAATTTGAACTAATAGTTTGGGAAAAGGTGGGTCAATGTAGACCCAGAAGAGGAGGCTTTTATAAGTAGAGAATAATAATAGGGGTGACTTTCTTCTAAAACATCCAGAAAGTAACATTTTCTAGTTAACCTGGTTTCTTTTCCTTTCTTTTTTTGGAGGGGTGAAGGAGTAGACTATTCTCTGAATACTTTCTTCTATCCTCATAACTTGGATCTCAATTTCATGGCTCATCCTTCCTCCCTAAACTATTTATCCTAATTTCAGTGAATGGTAAAAAAAAAAAAAATTCTTCACGGGCTTCCCCATGGCTCAGCGGTAAAGAATTTACAGGAGACTCAGGTTCCATCTCTGGGTTTGAAGATCCCCTGGAGATGGAAATGGCAACCCACTCCAGTATTCTTGCCTGAAGAATTCCATAGACAGAGGAGCCTGGTGGGCTACAGTCCATGGAGGTACAAAAGAGTCGGACACATACACACACAAAAAAGAGTCGGCCACAACTAAGTGACTGAACAATAACAACAACAACAACAACAACAAAAAAAAACCCACAAGTATCAGAACTGCATCCTGAAATTGTTATTAATGAGGCAATAAAAGAAGACTTTCCTCATCGTAGTTTTCATTTGCATTTCTCTAATAATTAGTGATATTGAGCATCTTTTCATGTACTTCTTGGTCATCTGTATGTTGTACAGGAGAAAATAACACAACATTGTAAAGCAACTATACTCCAATAAAAAAAAATTTTTTTAATAGTGAGAGAAGAAAAAAAAGCACACTTCATTATGTTTTTAAGAGTTCAAGGCTTTGAGACTTTTACCCCCATTTTTGTCCTCTCAGAGAGAACAGAACAAACCCAGAGCAGTCCTTACCTAAGCAAATCACTCCAGCATCTTCAGCGTGATCACAGTTGTGCTTTCCCCATCCTTCGTGTCTGCAGTTCCAGAGAGCTGACTCATTTCCATGGCATACCAGATCATCAAACCAGATTGGCCCAGATCCTTCTCCAAAATTAGCTGAGCCAGAGAAACTGATAGCACTTCCACATCCAAGCTGTTTACAAACCACAGAAGCGTGATCCAAATTGAAGTTATCGTCACACACTGTTCCCCACTGGCCCTGGAATTTTATCTCTATTCTTCCTGAGCACCGGTTTCCTCCGTTCATCAGCCTCATCTCCAAATCAGATCCATCTAGAGAAGAGAAAAGGCCAGAATTCAGAAGTGATATTTATTCTGAAGTGATCTTAGAGAATAGTATTCCTCTGGTCTCTTGAGACTTGCTGCTCTCCTTAAAAATGATGCCTCACTGTGCATGCTGCTCCAGTTCACATATTGAAAGATTTTAATCTTTGAAAACTAACAAATGATTAGGACTTTCATCTGTATCAACTGACCCCCCAAAAAAATCTTTCATGGATTAAAATTACTTTGTGTTTTGTTTCCCTCTATTACTAAGACATAGTAAACTTGTCTATGTAGAAATAAAGAAAATAGTAGAAGGACAATGTAAAGAAAAAAAAAACAGTCTAGTATCAAAGTCTACCCTCTTTACTATTATGTGTGTGATCATAATAGAATTTCCAAGAAGCAGATGCTCTGAGAATTGAGCATTAATCAGGGTGGAGAATCTCAGAAATATGGACTCTGAAACTTTAAAAATATGAACTTGGAAATCTCATGAAACTCGTGAGTCCCTGACTACTCATCCCTTTCTATTATTATGCACCAGTTGAAGCTTTAGGTGTACAAAGTTCAAAAACTAAATTTGATTGACATCATCTTTACATAAAGGATCCTTATGCAAAAGATATGAAAAACAGAACACAGGAGGTTAAAGCACTACACTGAGGTCTTAGCTTAAATAGTCAACACCATCAACAGCAATAATTATAGTAAGATCCTGGCAAGATTTATTATGATTTTTAACTTCACTGTAGATGCTTGATGTAGCTTTTACAATTATTATTTCTTATCTTTCCCTGCAAAATGATTAACAATGAAAGACAACAATAAAAGAAAGAAGAGGAAGGAAGAGGAGAACAGAGAAAGAGAAGGAAGAAGAAAGAGAAATGAGTGTGAGCCATGAGGAAACTAATGCTAATTTTTAGCACCTATGACCTACCTGTCATTGTACCAGTAGCTTTACATGTGTTATATTACTGACTACTCAGAAGCTGAAGTTTAGAAAGATTTACAACTTACTCAAAATAATAGCATTAAGGAGTAGTTGAGGAGTTTTCTAGAAACTAGTTACTCCCATGACACCACAGCGCCTGGGTAAAGATTGTTGCTGTTGTTCAGTCACTAGGTTGTGTCTGACTCTTTATGACCCCATGGACTGTAGCCCATTAGACTTCTCTGTCTATGTGATTTCCCAGGCAAGAATACTGTAGTGGGTTGCCATTTCTTTCTCCAGGGGGACTTCCCAAGGGATCAAATCCATGTCTCTTGCATTGGCAGGCAGCTTCTTTACCACTAAGCCACCAGAGAAGCCTGGATAGAGATTAATCCTTTCTGAAGTCAGTCCTATGGAGGAGATGGTCTCTAACAGAAAGGCTGGGTGGTGAGAAGATTGCCTAAATTTCAATGACATGAGCAAAGAGAAATTGGAAGCCCAGGAATCTGAACTGGGTCAGAAACATGACCTTGGGTTTTGTCTGCAGAAATGTCTGAGTTATCATAATAGCAAGTGAGATGAAACTTATGAAATATTTTATAAATTAAAACTACCATGTAAATGAAATGAATAGCATTTCACATTGGAAAAAGCAATTCTACTTTGCAAAATATTCTTCCTCCAACAAAACAGATTAGTGCTAGGAGTATTTACTTCTTGACTTGGTAAATTGATTATCAGTTAATGGGCAAAAGGGTCATGTTTTACGAGCCAATACACGAAAGCAGCATTTTATGGGGTAAGGGGACAAGGAATCAAATTAGATATGATTTAGGAAATGGCAACCCACTCCAGTATTCTTTCCTAGAAAATTCCATGGACAGAGGAGCCTGGCAGGCTGCAGTCCATGAGGTCACAAAGAGTCAGACATGATTAAGCAACTGAGCACAGAATGTTACAGTAGGATTACTTAATATAAAATTGAAGCTAATCTCTTCCTCATTGACTGTACTATTCAGAATCTCTTTTGATTTTTTTTTTAACATGGGTCTTGTCATACATTTTCTGGTCTTTAACAATGAATTGGGTCCTTTTCATACCTGGATTATTTTATACCTAGATTACTTACAGAAAACTGGCCTTTTTATTTTTAACCCATCTATAAGATTTTTTCCCACCAAGCATTCATGTCAAGGTTTGACTTACACAAGTCTTACCTGAGCAGGTGACTCCTACATCCTGTTGGTGAGTACAATTATGCTTTCCCCACCCCTCATGTTTGCAGTCCCAGAGAGCTGATTCATTGCCTCGACAAGACACATGATCCATCCAAATGCGCCCAGTGCCTGCACTGGAATTGGTCCATCCTGTGGCTTTGATGACAGTCGGACATCCCAGCTGCTTACAAACCACGGAGACAGCAGCCAAGTCCCAGCCGTTGTTGCACACAGTTCCCCACTCTTCCTGGACTTTCACCTCCACTCTCCCAGAACACTTGGTTGTACCAGCCGCCAGCCTCAGCTCCTTGTCTGTTCCCCCTGTAACAATAGGTAAAGGTAGCAATTGGTCAAGATCCCAAAGCAAGTAAAATGATTATTCCTTAGATTACTTATTTATTTTTCAAACCCAGCTTTGAGAAACATTTCTGAACCTATGTATGGTACAGTAGGAGACTGTCATTTCATAGGAATTCAAAATCAAACAGCAGTGTCACAGGTTTCAAAGGAAGCCATTCAATACTATATGGTGTCTTTATTTTATGGCTGAGATTCTTTATAACATCAATGTATATAAACCTACGGATAGTTTACTATAAAAATATTACAAAATTTTATAGGGATAAGCTATATAAGTTTCTCCAAAATCCTAAGATCAGTGGAAAGAAGGCTAGTAGTGAAAACGAAAGACTGATTATTGGGAATTCAGTACCTATTTCACACACATATTCAAAAGGCCATGAATTATTTTTTTAATTTTTTAATTTTAACTGGAGGCTAATTACTTTACACTATTGTGGTCATTTTTGCTGTACATCGATATGAATCAGCCACAGGTGTACATGTGTCCCCCATCCTGAAACTCCCTCCCACCTCTCTCCCCACCCCATTCCTCTGGGTTGTCCCCGAGCACCGGTTTTGAGTGCCCTGCTTCATGCATCGAACTTGCACTAGTCATCTATTTTACATATGGAAATACCATAAATTCTTAAAATGCTAGTTGAAATCTAACTGAACATAGCTACCCAAATGGAAATTGAAATGGAGATATTTTCCTAGTATCTTCTACCATAAAAAATCCCCTCTCCCCTACTCCTCCCAAGGGTCTTGGCTACTGCCTTGTGATTATTTTAGCTAACATAGGAATCTGTGCTTCCTGATAGATACCTGGCTTCCCTGAATACATTTTAAGATAAATTTTGGCATTTGAATTTTCAAAATGTTCCTAAAATTCCCTCATCCTAACAGTTCTGACATTTCTCCTCCTCTGTATTGTTCCCTATTTTTTAGTTAGACATTACTTCAGATCTTTAAGGAATATGCATTTTTCCAGTAAGCATTTATTTTAAAAAAAAGAGCTATACTAACGTTTTGGGCCAGTGGGGTCACATCATTAGGTACCCATTTTGTGCTTTTAATATCCTGATCCTTCAAAACACCATGAAGCTTGCTTTTAGATGCTATTTAGCCTTCAGGAGAATGATTTGCTTGTCAATGATTCTCAACACAGTGGGCAAAGATTGTGAGTAAATTTGACAAAGTACTCACCAAGAGCATTGGTGACCAAACAGGCATAGAGAACTGAGACCACAGCAAAAGTGAAGGGACCGAAATGAACAGAACACCTTTTAAAGCCTGTGGAAAGAAAAAAAAAGAAGGTAAAAGTATAGTCTTTCCGACCAAATAGGCTTTAGAGCAAGCAGGTGGTTTCAGAGGTTTGAAATTAACAAAAAAGTCAAACCAAGGCAGAAAACCCTTCTCCTAAATGGCAAGGCAGGCAGGCAGGAAAAATTCATATCCAGGATCATACAGGAGCAGTGAAGCAGCTTTGAAAATGTCCATGGTTACAGGCAACCTAGAAGTGAGGGATTAGGAGAGTTGGAGATGCAAAAAGAATGGCAAGAGTGAGTCTTAGCACCTGGAAAACAGAAAAGGCGTTGATGAAACTTAGAAGTGGGCACTTCTCCCATTGGACACAGAACAATATTCAACCCCTGATATTCTCATCTCCAAGCCTACCTGATCCACATTATTCATTGGAAAGTTCCATGAGTAAATAAATTATACCTATAATGTTCATCAGCTTTACCAGTACCTGGCACAGTGCCTGCTAAATTCTAATTGAACACTACACTGGAGGAAACACTGACAAAGATTATATTTGAAAGTCCCCATTATTGGACCTTGTGGGCTTCCCAGGTGATGCAGTTACAAAGGATCTGCCTGCCAATGCAGAAGACACGGGTTTGATCCCTGGATCGGGAAGATCCCCTGGAGAAGGAAATGGCAACCCACTCCAGTATTCCTGCCTGGAAAATCCCATGGACAGAGTAGCCTGGAGGGCTACAGTCCATGGGGTCACAAAGAATCGGATACCGCTGAGCGACCAAGCATGCACACACACACCATTGGAATTTATCTCCAAAAATAGCCTAAAATGCTCTATCACTCTCACTTCTCCTTCTTACTCTCATCCTACAGTAATTTTAAAGTAAAAATGCTATGACACAGAACTGTGCACTTATTACCCATGCTTTCATGTGGTATGCTTTCAAGTTTAAAAGCTTGAAAAAAAAAAAAGTTAGAATGCTAAATGAATTTAATGCATCCACATAAATCATGAGGTAGATTTTAACACTCAGGAGTGTCATTCTAAATGCCCTCTAAGGAATCAACTTTTCATCAATATGCATTCCTACTTGTTCTATCCTTTCTAACAACTATTCGTTTTATACTCAATACAATTCAGTTAATTTTAGTTCCTTACGTAGCTGTTCCTCAGTGGTTTTACAGAGTTGATGCCAAATCTAATCCTTATTTCATACCTTAAATTTCGAACCTATGGAAGATACAGGTACTTCTTAATAGGCTTCTTGCTCTTTCCCATAACTTACCCTCCTGATGCCCATCATTATTAAATCAGATCCACTGACTGTCAGAATTTTACTATACTCCATTAGAGAGTAGACAGAACAAATGATAAGCTTTACCAGCAGATCCAGAGTTGTCATGTAGCACCATTCTGAGTTTGTCCATTCCAAAGTTTTATGATGCTTAAATCTTCTTGTATTATTCCCTTGGAATGGTCCCTTGAAGAAGAGGACCACTACAAATTCTAAAAATCATTTCACTTCCACACACACACACACAAAAGAAGGATTTCATAATGGAGGTGGAGTCAACCAGAAAAGGGAAGTAATTAAAAGAGAGAGGTTCCTTTTTGTCCTCAAGTTTTCTTCCATTTGGGACATGAAACAAAGAAAACTGAGAAATATTCACTACAGATTTACAAAAATTAAAGGGGAAATATTAACTCAAATATGGTTGTCTTTGAACACAAAATTTCTACACTCTGTTTTGGATGACTACATTAGAAACAAAAATAATAATTGTTATGAGATGAAATTATGTCAAAAAAAAAACTAAGGTAAGGGACTTCCCTGGTGGTCCAGTGGTTAAGAGTCCACCTGCCAATGCAGGGGTTGTAGGTTCAATCCCTGGTCAGGGAAGACACCACATGCCTCGGAGAAATGAAGCCTGTGCACCCCAACTACTGAGCCCGAGCTCGAGAGCCCACGAGCCATAACTACTGAAGCCTGTGCTCCACAACAAGAGAAGCCACCATAATGAGAAGCCGGCTCATCACAACAGAGTAGCCTCCTCTTGCCGCAACCAGAGAAAGCCCACACACAGCAATGAAGACCCAGTGCAGTCAAAAATAAATAAATAAGAATAAAACACTTAGAAATGAATTTAAAAAAAAAAAAAAACAAAATAAAATGGGCAAAACATAGTTAAATCACTAAAGCTTGATTGTATAGTCACTTTTATAATTTCTATAATCAAAGGTGTCTCATGAATAATTATGTGCAGATTATCCATAGACAGCACTTGAATTTCTTTTCTTTTTTAAAAACTTTTATTGAAGTACAGATTTATAATGTTATGTTAATTTCTTCCGTATAGCAAAGTGAATCAGTTATACACACATATTTATATATATGCCCACTCTTTTTTGGATTCTTTTCTCATATAAGTCATTGGAGAGTAGTGAGATGAGTTCCCTGTGCTATACAGCAGGTCCTCATTATTATCTGTTCTATATATAGTAGTGTGTATAGTCAACACAAATTTACCAATTTATCTCTCCCTGCACCTCCTCTTTCTAACGATAAGTTAGTTTTCTACAGCTGGAACTCTATTTCTGTTTTGTAAAGAAGTTCATTTGTACCAGTTTTTTTAGAGTTCACATATAAGTGATATCATGTATTTGTCTTTTTGTGTCTGACTTAACTTCACTAAGTATGACAGTATAAATGCATTAAACTTCCTAAAAATCTTTCCACAATGAATATTCCAAGCCCCATTGGCTTCACTGGTAAATTCTAACAAAAATTTTAAGGAAAAAAAAAATAATACCAATTCTAAACAAACATTTCCAGAAAACAAAGAGTAGTGACTACTTTCCAACATGTTCTATGAGGCCAATATAACTTCATATCAAAACCAGAAAAAGACATTATAAGGAAGGAAAATTACATATGAATATCTCTCACAAACATGTGCAAAACTCTGGACAAAATATTAGCAAATAAATCTAGCAATATATAAAATAATAATATATCATGACCAAGCAGGGTTCATCCCAAAAATATAAGGATAGTTTAACATTCAAAAATTAAAATTGTATATAACATTATATAAGAGTCTTAACAGAAAAATCATTCAATCAACTTGATAGATGTAAAAAAGCCTTTCACAAAATGTAACACCAGTTCCCAATAAAAACTTAGTGAACTAGGTGTGTAAAGGGCACCCATGAAAAGCCTACAGCTAAAATCATATTTAATACTCAAAGACTGAATGCTTTCTCCTTAAGATCAAAAGACCAAAATGTTAATTTTAATCATTTCTATTTGACGTGGTACTGGAGATACTATCCAGGACAATCAGACAAGATAAAGAAATAAAAAACATTCATGTTGAAAAGAAAGTAAAACAGTCTGTTTTTTGGCAGATGACATTGTCATCTGTGTAGGACTTATAATAAAATCTACAAAAAACTATTAGAACTAATAATTGAGTTAAGCAAGGTTGCAGGATACATGATCAATATACAAAAATCACATAACAAAAAAAAAATCAGAAGTTAAAATTTAAGACTACTACCAGCAGCTCTAGGCCAATAAAATGGACAACTTGGAAGAAATGGACAAGTTCTTAGAGAAGTATAACTTTCCAAAACTGAACCAGGAAGAAATAGAAGATCTTAACAAAACCATCACAAGCAAGGAAATCGAAACTGTAATCAGAAATCTTCCAGCAAACAAAAGCACAGGACCAGATGGCTTCACAGCTGAATTCTACCAAAAATTTAGAGAAGAGCTAACACCTATCTTACTCAAACTCTTCCAGAAAATTGCAGAAGAAGGTAAACTTCCAAACTCATTCTATGAGGCCACCATCACCCTAATTCCAAAACCAGACAAAGATGCCACAAAAAAAGAAAACTATAGGCCAATATCACTGATGAACATAGATGCAAAAATCCTTAACAAAATTCTAGCAAACAGAATCCAACAACATATTAAAAAAAATCATACATCATGACCAAGTGGGCTTTATCCCAGGAATGCAAGGATTCTTTAATATCCGCAAATCAATCAATGTAATACACCACATTAACAAATTGAAAGATAAAAACCATATGATTATCTCAATAGATGCAGAAAAAGCCTTTGACAAAATTCAACATCCATTTATGATTAAAACTCTCCAGAAAGCAGGAATAGAAGGAACATACCTCAACATAATAAAAGCTATATATGACAAACCCACAGCAAGCATCACCCTCAATGGTGAAAAATTGAAAGCATTTCCCCTGAAATCAGGAACAAGACAAGGGTGCCCACTCTCACCACTACTATTCAACATAGTTTTGGAAGTGTTGGCCACAGCAATGAAGGCAGAAAAAGAAGTAAAAGGAATCCAGATAGGAAAAGAAGAAGTGAAACTCTCTCTGTTTGCAGATGACATGATCCGCTACATAGAAGACCCTAAAGACTCTACCAGAAAATTACTAGAGCTAATCAGCGAATACAGTAAAGTTGCAGGATATAAAATTAACACACAGAACTCTCTTGCATTCCTATACACTAACAATGAGAAAACAGAAAGAGAAATTAAGGAAACAATACCATTCACCATTGCAACAAAAAGAATAAAATACTTAGGAGTATATCTACCTAAAGAAACAAAAGACCTATACATAGAAAACTATAAAACACTGATGAAAGAAATCAAAGAGGACACAAACAGATGGAGAAATATACCGTGTTCATGGATTGGAAGAATCAATACTGTCAAAATGGCTATACTACCCAAAGCAATCTATAGATTCAATGCAATCGCTATCAAACTACCAACGGTATTTTTCACAGAACTAGAACGAATAATTTCACAATTTGTATGGAAATACAAAAAACCGCGAATAGCCAAAGTAATCCTGAGAAAGAAGAATGGAACTGGAGGAATCAACCTGCCTGACTTCAGACTAAACTACAAAGCCACAGTCATCAAGACAGTATGGTACTGGCACAAAGACAGAAATATAGATCAATGGAACAGAATAGAAAGCCCAGAGATAAATCCACGAACCTATGGTCACCTTATCTTTGACAAAGGAGGCAAGGATATACAATGGAAAAAAGACAACCTCTTTAACAAGTGGTGCTGGGAAAACTGGTCAACCACCTGTAAAAGAATGAAACTAGAACACTTTCTAACACCATACACAAAAATAAACTCAAAATGGATTAAAGATCTAAATGTAAGACCAGAAACTATAAAACTCCTAGAGGAGAACATAGGCAAAACACTCTCCGACATAAACCACAGCAGGATCCTCTATGACCCACATCCCAGAATTTTAGAAATAAAAGCAAAAATAAACAAATGGGACCTAATGAAACTTAAAAGCTTTTGCACAACAAAGGAAACTATAAGCAAGGTGAAAAGACAGCCCTCAGATTGGGAGAAAATAATAGCAAACGAAGCAACAGACAAAGGATTAATCTCAAAAATATACAAGCAACTCCTCCAGCTCAACTCCAGAAAAATAAATGACCCAATCAAAAAATGGGCCAAAGAACTGAACAGACCTTTCTCCAAGGAAGACATACAGATGGCTAACAAACACATGAAAAGATGCTCAACATCACTCATTATCAGAGAAATGCAAATCAAAACCACAATGAGGTACCATTACACGCCAGTCAGGATGGCTGCTATCCAAAAGTCTACAAGCAATAAATGCTGGAGAGGGTGTGGAGAAAAGGGAACCCTCTTACACTGTTGGTGGGAATGCAAATTAGTACAGCCACTATGGAGAACAGTGTGGAGATTTCTTAAAACCTGGAAATAGAACTGCCATATGACCCAGCAATCCCACTCCTGGGCATACACACCGAGGAAACCAGATCTGAAAGAGACACGTGCACCCCAATGTTCATCGCAGCACTGTTTATAATAGCCAGGACATGGAAGCAACCTAGATGCCCATCAGCAGGCGAATGGATGAGGAAGCTGTGGTACATATACACCATGGAATATTACTCAGCCATTAAAAGAATTCATTTGAATCAGTTCTAATGAGATGGATGAAACTGGAGCCCATTATACAGAGCGAAGTAAGCCAGAAAGATAAAGACCATTACAGTATACTAACACATATATATGGAATTTAGAAAGATGGTAACTATAACCCTATATGCAAAACAGAAAAAGAGACTCCGATGTATAGAACAGACTTGTGGACTCTGGGAGAAGGCGAGGGTGGGATGTTTCAAGAGAACAGCATCGAAACACGTATATTATCTAGGGTGAAACAGTTCACCAGCCCAGGTTGGGTGCATGAGACAAGTGCTCGGGCCTGGTGCACTGGGAAGACCCAGAGGGATCGGGTGGAGAGGGAGGTGGGAGGGGGGACCGGGATGGGGAATACATGTAAATCCATGGCTAATTCATTTCAATGTATG